CTCGAATCATGCTCCGCTTGCCGAGGTTTCAGCAACTAGGTAGTGTCACTAGGTTTCATATGACCGTGGCGTAATGCCAAGTACATTTAAATGCAAATACTTATTGAGTTATTTTGTGAAGTCACTAAAACTAATTCTGAAATGTACGAGAGAATGTAGGTTATCTGGTTTGAATATATGATACAATAAAAGTATACTGTAGAAGACTGAAGTAAAGTCTTCAGTAAAAAAAGGACTAGACAGGTCACACTAGTTACTAGTGTCCACTCAAAAGTATCGAATACAGTCCTGCAGGAGGTCAATCGCGAGCCCAAATAGCTCAGTGGTAACATCTCTGACTGCAAACTGGGTGACGCAGGTTCGAATCACAGAGTGGACATAGGTTGCTACAAGATTGCAAATACGCCTTGCTGAGGAGTGCCAACAAGCACGAAACCCTGATGGAAGACTTCCTACCGACTACCTCCAACCATCTAATAACAGTAACACTTCATACGTATCGTATTTAAATGTAACAATTTACAGATTCTTTCCTTTTCTTACAGTATTTGCATGACTTTAATTTATAATATTTTCATACTTCTATCTTGTTTATTGCTACTTCAAACGTTCCCTTCAAAATTAAGGTGTGATATAACTCGCTCAGCTAGAAAGAAGCATTTCCTTCTGGGTTGTCCTAGGTACCTATTACATATTTTCGCTGAATATTCAATTTTGATAGCGTTATTAGAAGACGGAGACTATCTGAAAAATTTGATGCATTAGCGCTATACATTTCGAACAATCTGATCACACATTTACTTGTCAAGTCAATATATATAGAAAGGTTAAATTAAACCAATTGAGAGAAAAAAAAATTGAGAATAATTAACACAAACGTTTGGTAATCCAATCAAATAAGGATTACCAAGGTAGGTTATGAGTAATAACAAACTGTTTTTGAATACACAAGGTGGGCTTAAGTCTATGAATAGCTATAGCCTCAGCGTATTTCAGTAAACGCACTTGACCGTTTCTACAGATGACCTAAAAGGCTGAGTTAACATCAGTCTTATGGTTCATCTCGATTAGGTGTTTAGCTATAGACGAAGTTGGTAGTCTGACACCTGCATCTATTGGCTTTTCACAATTCATCTGTTTTTCTAACCATTTTGGGATATGCTCTCCCACATTGTTCAAAATATATAGCGCTAATACATCACATTTTTCAGATAGTCTCCGTCTTCTAATAACTCTATCAAAATTTATAAAAGGGACTAATTGTTTTGAATATTCAATTCTGTGGAAAAACAACCGGTATGTTTAACGTGAGAAAGGCCAACATTTCTACAAGACATTTATATCGATGTAAATATAATGAAATTCACTAGTTATTGTCCAGAAATATCAAATAATATCAGCAGCTTAAAAGTTTCTTTTTTTAAATTACTGGGACTATCAGTCTTATCTGTTGAAGTTTAACTGTTTTGCACGCTAAAACCTTTTCTCAGTATTTATTTAGATACCTGACAACTGACGATCCACATTGGTAATGAGTTATCATTTATGAACATTAATCAGCATAAAAAGCTAAGATTGACTTCAATATATAATTGAGGGTGTATACTTTGGTTCAGGAAGTTATTTATATGTACTAGAAATCTGAACTGTCTCAGATAACATCACAAGATTATTGTCTCTTCAATAATATTGCTGTCTTCATAAGATTACCTGCAAGTGTGAGCGATTCTAGCAGTCGAAATATACTCAGTATATAAAATAAACGAGTCTTTTATGTATTCTCTAAGTAACTTCTATAGAGCTCTGCGTACTTTAAGAACAGGAATCTGAGAGGAAGAATAACTCTAAAATGCATAGTTCGCGGGTTGGTACTATGTAACAACGGCTATTTGGCTACAGGACTTAATCATGAGCTCACATAGGTTAGACAACCACTGGAAGACCTGCAGGGGGTACTAAACAGATGTTTCGTTCTAATTTGGCGCTCTTAAATCCCTACAAACAAAGACTTGAAAAGCCATCTCCTTGGATTACTTTCAGCGACAAGATTGAATCGAAGGCGCTTTCAAAGAAACATGAGCTGCAGATAGACTATAAGCCAAGTTCAATACTCAAAAACTGAAGGATCAGGATACAAAGGACATCTTCACTGCAAACATAAGGAAAAAAGTGGAGACGCAATTCAACACTAGCGAAGAGGTCAGCGTTGAAGAACACCAGGGCAACCTGAAAGCGGTGTGGAGTCAAATCTGCATGGAAGTTCTGGACAGAAAGAAGAGACAGGACAAACAGTGGCTCACTACGGACACCTGGAGACCGATAGAATAGAGGAGGATGGTGAAACAAAAGGTAGTCCAGTGTACTGACGAGCAACAAAAACAAGAGTTGAATGCAATCTACACTACACTGAACAATAGAGTAAAGAAGAGTGCCAGGGAAGACAGAAGAAAATATTATGAAGCCATAGCAAGTGAAGCAGAACAAGCTGCAGGCAAAGGAGACAGTGTAGCACTCTACCGAACAACTAGTTTGACACAAATTAAACCAGTAAAGGATGACAATGAAAAGTAAGTCACCAAAGAGGTGGAGCAAATGAAACACTAGGCTGAACACTTTAAAAGCCTTATAAATTGACCGCCATCTACAACGCTCCCAACAATACCAACAACGGAAGCAGAACTACCAGTGAACATCAACCCCCACGCACCAAAGAGAACAGAAATCCTGAATGCAATCAAGATTCTAAAAGCTGGAAAAGCAGCAGGACCAGCTGGAATTCCAACAGAAGCATTGGAAATGGACCCAGAGACAACAGCGAACTTGATGACACCACTACTGAAGATGGTGTTGGAAAAAGGCAAGGCACCCGAGGATAGAAAGAAAGGACACTTATCCAAACTGACAAAGGAAGGAGACTTAAGTCAATGCAAGAGCTGGCGCGGAATTGTGCTCCTGTCCATCCCTGGCAAAATACTAAGCCGCATCATTCTGAAGAGAATCAAACACGCTCTGGATGAAAAACTTCGACCGGAAGAAGCTGGATCCAGGAGAAACAAGTCATGTATTGATCAAGTCGCCACACTATAGATCATCATTGAACAAAGCTTGGAATGGCAGTCACCTCTCCGTCTCAAATTCATAGACTTTGAAAAGGCCTTCGATAGCGCAGCGTCGATCGAGAGGTGATTTGGCAACTGCTTCGCTACTACGGAGTGCCGCCGACAATTATACATGTCATCCAACAGTTGTACGACAATGCTGCGTGTCAAGTAATCCATAACGGGAAACTCACTGAATCCTTCGAAGTGAAGACAGGAGTAAGACAGGCTGGCTGCCTACTGTGTCCAATGATTTTCCTGATTGCGTAGACTGTATGATGTGACAGATAGCGGGCAGCGAGGAAACAGGCACAAAAGGACCCAGATAAAACACTCGGAGGATATGGACTTTACTGATGATATATATCTGATTTCCCACAAACTGTGTGATATGCAAGTGAAAAGCAACAAGTTGACGGAACCAACAAGAATCAATGATAGGACTTCAGGTGAACATAGATAAAACAGAGGTGATAAAGATTCCTGGCCAATAGCAGCAGCAACAACAATAGACAACAATCAGCATAAATGGGAGGAACCTGAAAGAAACAACCTCATTTACCTACCTACCTGGGAAGTATCGTTTCAACTACAGGCGGAACTGATGAGGATATCAGAGCGAGGATCGGGAAAGCAAGACAGGCTTTCATTACTCTTAAGTCTATGTGAAGGTCAACAGCACTCAGCATCAAAAATAAGATCCGGATTTTCAACTCCAATGTGAAGTCAGTGCTACTATACGGATCAGAGACTTGGCCAGTGCGTCATAAAGAGCATCTCAAACAAACTTCAGACCTTCATTAACAGCTGTCTCCGCTCAATACTCAAGATCAGCAACAGGGATCTCTGGGAGCGAACCAACCAGGAACCGATTGTGAAACAAATAAGCAGGAAGAAATGGAGATGGATTGGTCATACTCTGAGAAAACCATCAGGTGACATCACGCGACAGGCTCTTGAGTGGGACCCGAACGGAAAGCAGCGAGTTGGTCGTCTAAGTTTGACTTAGAGATCATATGTTTATATGAAAATATAAATTATCATCATATGAAGAGGAGATTAAAGCATGTGGGCAGATGTGGAGCCAGGTGAAAATTGGCAGAGAACCGAGCGCAATGGAGACGTGCAGCTGAAGCCCTATGTTCCTCTAGGAATTAAAGGAAATAATAATAATAAAACAGTTTTCAACTTAGAATATTTCTATGATCATTAACTCATTATAACCTTTAGTAAACTCTTTTGACAACAATACCATAAACAAACTGTTTTTCCTCAAGATAAGCTTCATTTTCCCAACAATCTACAGTTTCAAGTCAGATCGCGAACTGACATTATTTATTTGATCCCTGATGGAGTAGACATGTACTAAAGAACAGCCTCAAACTAGGGAGAAACAGCTGTTCAGTGCTCTCTGGTTTTTACCAGCCCCTCTGTATTTTGTAATTTCGTGGCGAAATCTACATTGAAATTGGAGAAGCATTCAGTGGTTCTTTAACTGACTGGAATTCCTACGTCTCCTAGTCCTCACAAACAAAAAGTTCATCATGAGAAACAACTTCGAATAAACCAATTCCCTCGTTTCTTGTAATATCCAGTTTTCCTTTTTAACCCGCTAATATATCAAAGCAAGATATTCATCTGATGTGGACTATAACTGGATGGTAAAGTGATGATATCATCAGCTGGAATACCTGTTATTCACTATGAATAACATTTAAATGTTTAAAGCTACTTGTCAGTAGTAGAATTTACAAATAAAATATTATAAGATCAAAACAGAATTTACTTCCTTTTGTTTTTAAGAGTTTTTGATCATACTCAAATTGTTTTGTATTTTTTTGTAGTATCAAAAGTATTCTATCAAATATTATCAATAAAGTTAGGCACAATGAACAATGTTTCCTAAGCTTCAATATCTTTTTCACCTTCATCTTCTTCTTCTTCTGTGTTACCATCAGGGTTTATTGCCTCAGAGTTTTCTTCGTCATCATTATTATTATTGTTATTATTGCTGGCATTCATATTATTATCACTGTCAAGATCTTGGTGATTTACTTCAACCTCCTTTTGGTCGATATCTTCTGACTGTATTTCTTTCAATGTCCTGTCATCATCATGGCTATCAACTTTTGTCATTGTTTCACTTCTGTCCTCTTCAGTAACATTTACCTTTAGACCTTCTTTAAAAAGTTTTACAAAGATTTTGCTCAATAAAGGAAACGTTTTATATGATACACCAATAACATTTAACAAAGAATAATTGATCAACCAAGCGGCATCATTTAGAAAGCAATTAAATATTAACAAGCATTGGATGAATGTTGAAATACGTGGGTAAATGGATCCTCATCCGATAGATGGATGGATTACACAGTTAGATAGTTCTGATAGTTTTTTCAACAGGTCCCTGGTCTAGGATAAAACCATTATTCAAGTACACCTGATTACCAATAATTGTCTAACTAATGTCCACTAGGTAATGAAACCGGAAATTTTTGTTGAATTTGAGGGTTAATTTGATAGATCGTTAAAATTATTAAAAATTTCTATTCTCCAATGTCTCGGAAATTTTTAGCGAATAAACAATAAAAAAGTACTGCTGACTTTAATTGGTCACTAGGCAGTAACCATTGTCACACGTGTAGTCTTTTGTTTGATGCAGACTAACTTCTGTCACTCTGATAATAAATTATTATTAGTACATATCTATTCAGCATTCTGTAATTCGACACTATAATAATGATGGTAATTATTATTTTTCTCTTGTATTTCGAGAGGAACATATAGCTTTAACAGCATATCTATATTTCATTCTGTTTTCTGAACTCGTTTTTAGATGGCTTCAGGACTGACTATAAGCTCTCATCTCATCCTCACAAGATCACCTCCATGTCATCCTGCGACACGTGCCCAACCCGAAGTTTCCCATTTAGGTTTTACTTGAGCGTTGGCCTGGCGCATGATGTCATGCAATGGTTACCTCAGCACGTATTCACCTCATCTCCCTCCTCTGCGTTACATTTGTCGGGTCCTCGGTTGGTTGGCTGGCTGCTAGAGTTCGTTTTCGTCTATCTTTTCACTATGGAGAGAAGTTCCAGCTGTTCATGAAAGTCTGAAGCAGGTTGTTCAAACTGCTTTGTGAAACTATATAGAAACAGTTACTTGACATTAGTGTTGAAAATGACGACCTTTTTCTTTATGTTGAGTTCAGTGGATCTCCAGATTGATTTCGGATTAACGAAGGTCTGTCTCGCCTTTCTGATCCTGGCCTTGACATCCTCATTTGTGTCGCATGTAGTTGAAACGATGCTGCCTAGAAAAGCAAAAGAGATGACTTCGTTATAATTATACCTCTGATAGTGATTGGTGCTTATTGCTGTCAGTTGACTGTTTGTTTTCTTCATCCCCTCTGTCTTTTCCTCCTGCTTCTTCTGTCAATTTGTTCGCTTTCCCCTGTAGATCTTCGAGTTTGTGTGACATCAGACATAAATCATCTTCAAAGTCCAGATCTTCTACAGTCTTCTTGCCACTCATCAGCGCACCGTGTGCCATGAGATCCAGTCCACTACAATCGGGACTATCATAGATGGCAGTAGACAGGCTGTTTTCTCTAACTCCTGTATTCACCTCTAACAACTATATGTATTGATAAGTTTTGTTTATTCATCCTGACTTACACTTAAAATTTGTAACATTGTGGAGAAAAGATATAAGTGAAACATATAAACCAACAAACACTGAACTAAACTTAAATATTTTAACTAAAAATATCAGTCTAAATATTTATTTCTTATTTTTATTAATTTCTTTTGTATATGTATTCGAAGTTTTATTTGTCCAGTGGTTTTAATTTGTTAGTACAGTTAAAGTAAAGTGACTTTATGATTCCCGTGCAATTACGTGGTCTGCGTTTAGTTCTGGAAAAAAACATGATTAAAAAGAGGGAAAAGGGTTACATTTTACGTTTTCGATTCGGAATCAGAAGACAGTAGTAAGGATTTCCTTAGCATAAGCAATCATTCACTGATTCACTCACATTTAAGCTGCTTCATATGGCTAACCCTTTCATCATTTATTCATAATCTAATAGTTAGTAGCCAAAATAACTCATCAGCTTGACTTATCTCCCCTATGTGTACATTGGTAGTTAAGTAGGAGAATACTCACCAACTAGGAACGTGGTCCGTGATTCGACCCTCGGTTGAATTACTCCCTAACCTGGCTTAGTTGGTAGTAAGATCATTAAACAGAAGAGGTTGACCATGAGACCTGAAACCCCAACCGGTATGAAGTACACACCATCGCTAATGAAACTTCAATGCCTCAAGTTCGAAGATCTCTCCTCTACTTGGAGTGCAAAGGACTAAAATAAAATAATAAATCTCTCCCCTATACAACGTGTCACAGTTTCTATGCATTCTCACTATTTAGCTTATAGTTTCCTTAAATTTAACCAATGTTACGAAATCACCTATAATGATGCAGCTGTAACCACTTCATATGTCATTTAAACGAATTAAATAGCTCTTTGGAACTAAATATATACATACTACAGTATTTTGCTAGTATTGTATGCTACGGAATGAATAGTTCAAATGTGCAGTTGCGTATCACGAGTAGATAGATTCATCAGTATAAATAAGCTAACTATTTACTAAGTTATAGTAGACCACAAATTTGATTCAGTTAGACCAATAGTGCATAACTGACGTGTGTGTCACCAACTTCTTTTGTAAGTCCTATACGAAATTTCAAATTGCAAATGTTTGGCATACATGTATGTGACAGCCTGAAGCTCAGAAATGAAACATTATGTCATACACCTTAGATTCATCACTCTCAGTCAGGCAGATCTTTTTAATTTCACCTTGTAATCTGCTTCGTGTTTTATCCGCTTTATCTTATCTACCTTAGTTTTATAGTACTCTACAACCTATTTCTTTCATTCCTTTGTGTTTCAAATGAAATATAGGGCTTCAAACAAATGTTTTCTAGCTTCAGCAGCAGTATTGTTATTGGTTCTTCGGGGTGTGGCCGCTAGCTTCAAGTCTGACCTTCTCTCTTTATTGAGCTCCCTACCGTTAACTGAGGTCTAGAAGTGACTCGATCGGGAATGGAATCCGGACTGTGTGAGGCATAGCTGGTGAGTATTTTACCACTGGACTATCTTCAGTTGTATTATTCCTTTTTGGTTGTCTTACTTGATTTTGCCTTCTACATGATAGATAGACATAATGTGCAGACCACAATGCAATGCTGTTACGCTCATATGTCCTGTCTCCATGTAAGCGAAACACAAGCTGGACTGTTAGATCTACTATTCTTTATATATTTCCCTTCGCAACCATATTTGTCATCTGTGATATGATTATGTTATGGGATCTATCACTTAATGTTCGTACTTTACAAAGTTAGCAGCTTGAAATAATCCACTTCTGTGTTAAGCTGTTCAATGATTCATCAGCCAGCTAGTCAATTTGTTCAACACAGAATTAAAAATTGGTCATTACAGAATTTGAGATAGTTTCTATAGCAAATTCTTGAATATTATTGATATTAAAAGGACTAAGACTGAAGAAGAGATTGCTTATCAGTTAGTTAAAATAGTCTCTTAAACCTATTCGAATTAGTTTTGCCTTTCATTTGACTTAAACTGAACAGTAGTATATTACAAAAATAAAAGGCACATAAGCTTACCTTTTTCTTCCACGGGTCCTGGAGTAACTTCTGGGACTTTCGCTTCTTCAAGAAGTGGTTCGATTAATGTTGCCTTCCAGCGTGGAATTACCTTACTATCTTCATCATCGGGCAATTTCTCATCAGTCATCTTTATCCGAATGTTTATTGAGCATTTATTTTTCGAAATGAAATAAGTATGATATAACATCAATTAGCTTCAACAAAAAATTAAACATGACTATCTATCACGCACTTCAAATATACGACGTTATTCTGTTCTATTAATAAGGAGGAAATAGAAAATATGATTCATATTCTCAATTTATAAATTAATTTGAAATATATACGGTTCGAGGGGCTGAAACTTTTGCCACAGTTTCCCTTAAAAACTGAAATTATTTATACCACTAAAATATGTTACTTCCTTGATACTATTAATGGTAATCAATAAAAAATCAAATATGCATGAAACTACATGCTAGTAGTTCATTGAGATGAGTAGTTGCATGTCGCATACGTCAGTCAGTGGTGCTTGCTAACCAAATCAAAGTAAGCTAAACACAGGACAGCCATTTTGCCCGTTTGCTGCAGAGTTAATCAGTGGTTTACTCGGCTTGATTTCGCCGAAATATCCAAATCAGTTCTGTCCACCAGCTGCTTCGACGAACTGGTAGAAGAGTAAGCTAAGTTCTTAATTAGGCTCAAGTGAGAAAAACGGCCATCCAGTGTTCTTTCTGTCTGGCTAGCAAGTACTACCGGTTGATGTGTCTGGTATATAGCTGTCCATCTCAAACATTCGGTACTATATAGAAAATAGGATTCTGTCAGTTAGATGATTGGTTGACAATCATTTTAAAGTATGAATTTTCATGGTTTGAAAAGTATAGGCCGTCGAATGCGGAAACACTGAACCGAAAAAGGTAACAGCCCCAAGTCATGAAGACTTCACTTGTAAATTTATAGCAAACTAATGTATGAGGATTAAACTAGTATGAAACATTTGCATTAATTTGTGCAAACTTCTGGTTATCCCTTGGACATCGCCAAGCTGGAAAATAACTGAAGTTTCTAATGATTAATTATATATATATATATCTTCATTAATGTTTGATCAATTTATAAGTGTTTAATGCAGCACTGTTTTCCTCATCGTAAATACGCTACTGTCTGCCATGCTGAAATTACATCCCATGATGGGAGCTGAAAACATCACTGTGTTATTTCGCCATTTACTTCTCCTCGACATTTATTCATGAAATAGAAAATCAGACTTGTATCTTCTTAGATATAAGTTTTAGATTATCAAGCATCATTAGATTGCTACCAAACAACTGCAAACAACGTTGATCTCGCACACTTCACAACATCAACATTTGAAAATATGTTTACATTAGTGATCAGAGTAAATCAAAACTCTTTAAATAATATAAGATTAACTAAAATTGTTATATCACGCATGACCATTTGTATGTTACATTTATAAAAGAAGTTTTGAACGAAGAGGTCTACAGTTTTTTTATAAATCTATGAAAAAGAATATTTCACAAAAATATATAACTTACAGCCGGAGTGGCTAAGTATTCACCAATCTGTTGACAGCCTGAATTAGAGAAAACATATCTTCCTTTTCCAATAACCTAAATTTAATGAAAATGTATATATATATATATATATATATATATATATATATATATATATATATATATATATATATATATATATTTCGAAGCATTTTTAGCTTATAAAATCCGACTAACTGCTTCATAGATTAATATCATCCCCAGTCAAACACATATGACATAAACTGTTTAAACTTTCATCTCAGATGTTAATGAGTATGTATATGATAAGATTTAAAAGCTATTATTAGGTTACGTTTCTGACTACTACTCTGCTGCCTGCGATAGTCATGTAGGCACTTGAAGATGCTCTGAAACTAAAAAATAAGCGAAAGTATGGGAACCAATGACCATCCAATAAGATGGGGACAAAATCAATTTCACCAAATGATCTTATTAAGAGAACCTTTGAGATACAGGGAGTACTGAACGGCTGTTTCGTGCTTGTTTACGACTTTTCCTAAGTACACATCAATGAACCCACCATTGGTCAAATCTAGGACATTCTGGTTACAAGGAAAACTCATTTACCATTCACTCACTGGGACGGAATCCAGATATAACAATCACCAGGCAGTTTGGAACCAATCAAATCCGTATAAAGTAACATTTGAAAATCGATTTCCCTTGTACACTGGGATCCTGTAATCAAATTCTCACCTAACTTTTCAAGCTAACTTGTACTTCCCAGGGATTAATTTTTATGGGACCGAAATGTCCAGCCTCTGTTGACGTGTTTGCTACTATCGCACAGTATTCACAAGCATAAAGTTTACAGTCATAAATTCATAAGAATTTCGTATTAGATATTCACTGAGTAGAATTGATAATTTCATGAAAACTGACACATTGGTATTAAAACGTGTATTCACAAGAGACTGATGGAGAGATAACGTAATTGTAAAGATATATTGACTAAAGTTATGTGAAAAAGCATCATTAATTTTGCTGCAATATCTGAGAGAGTCTGTCTGTCTGTTTTCGACATAGAACTTTGCACATATGTGCGGGAGTTCAAGTCGCCACACTCTATGTAGCACACAAAGCAAGAGAAGAAAGTAGAAGAAATGCATAATAGAGACAGTAAACAGAGGTGTGAGACAAAGAAATAGAAGTAACGAAGAACAATGTAGTTTCATTGGAAATCATAGGTCACAAGGAGTGGATTCATCTGCACCAGCCATTGAGAACGATTTTGAGCCATTGGATTTTACCGTCCCGAGGACCCCAACCAGGATGTCTAAATCTTCCTACGTGACTTAAACTAACTGTTGTAGATTTCATTGACTGGTGCCATGTTTTGGTTTGACCGCCACTAGAGTAGGGCGCGTATAATACTGAGATGAATTGTGATTGATTATTTATCTAATTAAAGTACAAGCAATCGAAATTTTTGATCTGTAGTTACACATAATAATGTCAGCTCCTAGCACTTACGCTTTATTAATGTTTGAAGATTGAAATGAAGTTATTTGATCGATGTTGGTTAACAAGTGTGCATTTCGCCCTATCTGAGACTAGTCACCTGAATGTACTTATGTAACGGTAGAAGTCGAAGCTATTCCCAGCAAGGTATGACGTTCCCATTTAGACTGGAATCCAGCACCTAGGCCAGTATATCACGAGAGCCACAGACACTCACTGGGGATACAGGTAAATCAAGTTGGTGAGTCCCCAATAGGATGGAGCCTGAATCCTGGATTTTGTTACTAGGCTCCACTACTTGTCAAGGTTTTGTTAACTTGATTCAGTTTGACCTAGATTTAGTTATGGACCGACACCTAAGGAAAATAAAAAGAATCCAGTTTTGATGCGATTCTTGTTCTTGGAACTTCTTCGGTGGACACCTACAACTTCATGGAAAAAATAAAGGCGGGATTATGCGCATTCATTGTCGTCGGTGAGTGTCCTTTCCCACACTCTACTAAGTAATATGCAAGTTAATAATTTACTTTCAATAAGTAAAGGATAAAATCAGTGATCATGATCTCACGAGTTCTTTAATGATTTTGTTTATTAGTAGTGATTAAAAATCTGAATTTACTCTGAAAAAAAGGGATTTGCGTTTCTTAACTTCTGCTGCTTTTCACCGACCAAACTTACTGTACTTGGGGACTTCACTATTCAATCAACGGATACTACATAGTTGTTATTTTTCCTCACTGTATACTGAAGCTTAAATGACCGGAGTGCTAAGCATTCTAAGTTTAAACTAGTTCAGACGTATCGTATTAACTAGAGAAAATTAGATTTTCCTAACGCGTTAGATGATGAACGTATGTGAGTTTTATACTGCTTGTCATATGGAAAAATGGTTATTGATAGTAAGTTTATAAAAGTCTCTGTAAACAAATGTTCTGTACAGCTTGAAAATGAAGTCGTTGAAAAGAAATTTCTTCGCTGAACAAAAACTGTGTTTTTACTTATGAATATTAACATAGTCAAAAGTTAATAAAAAAATTTAAAAACACTTTTCAAGTTTTGTTTTGCAGGTATTCGATTGACTTCAAAATTGATGGCTAACTGACTTCAGTTAGAGAACCAATAAAAACCAAAAGGGACTTTTTGACAGTTGTTTCGTTCTTCTTTGGGACTCCATAACTGTGTGTATCTATGACCACACAACCTGGGATCGAACCCAACACATTGATGTCACGAAGAAAGTTTGTTGACCATTCAGCCACCGAGACAGTATCACTGGTGGGGTCACGGGCGCATACCAATAAAGGACCCCAAACAGGTGCGAAACAGCTGTCTAGTACTCCCCAGTTTCAATGGTTCTCTAATTGAAGCCAGTCAGTGATCAACCCTGAAATCAATCAAATTCCTGCAAATCAAAACTTGAAAAATAATCTAGTGCTCATAAATGACTGACTACAGGATGAATTTCACTGAAGTTCTGGTGGGAATTCGTGATTCATGATATTCACCAAATTGTGTGCGATGAGAAATACTCATAGATAACATTGGCTGGCGCCCACATTATATACAGTGTAATGATAGGAGTTAGAGTTGATGGGCCACTGGATTCCGTGACCCATAAGTCTTACGAATGATCCCTTATGGAGTCATGAATGTGTACCGCTGAAGCGTCTCGAACAAGAATGAGAAAGCCGCTCAGTACTCTTCAGTTTTCAGCGCTTTCCTGACTAAAGTCAGCTAGTAATCAGCCTCTTAAACACCTATCAATGGGTTTAGCTTCACAATTTGGCCACTATAAAAGCGTAACATACATTTGAAAGTGCTGAGAAAAATAAAATGTCGTAGACTGGCGCATTCGTTATACTGTGAAATCAGTCTTTTAAATTATATATATATATATATATATATATTCATTGTATATGAAAACACATGTGACGAGTCCCGACCACTAGATACAGCGAATACACTTGCAGATTAAAAAACACAATGTTCCACATATTGTTTGTGAAGACAGACAGTTTAACTCATTCCTCGTATCTCTGAATAAATTCTTTTTTATTATAAGAACAAAATTAAGTTAAATCAGCATGGTGACAGATTCTCTCTGGCTCTTACGTTTATGAGTCAAAGTAATGCAATTTCAAATTTTCCTGAAATTTAACAGTACCCTTTCCTCAGAGCACTTACTTATTCCTGTTCGCCATCGGCTACCTCAGTGCTTTATGGTGTTATTTATTTCGTTGATTAGCCATTTTAATACCTGTAGCAATGGGTTTTAGGAGTGAAAATCCACCTCTCAACTAAGATTTCACACATAGGTTTAATTACCTCAGCTCTTGACACTGGTTCTTTAAATCATACCTCATAATGGATAAAGCTGTACATTGAGCTGTAGACAAATCACTAAGTTCAGCTAAAGAGTTAACCCAGGATTTTCACCCAGCTGTACTTTCATATTCGCGATTTATTTCATGTTTGCTTTTAACGCATGGTCTAAAAAAATATTCTCTACTTCCTTTGGCATGGCACTCAGTGCATTTCGTTGTAACCTAGTGTTTTAAGCTAGTTAAATGATAGTAAAATTGGCTAAATCAGTTTCATTAAAGATGGACTTATTTTTTCGCCCATACTTACGAACAATTGAGGACCTTATAACGGATCTCGGAAAAGTTAATAATTTCAGCAATGACGTTTATGCTGTCTCAATCATTGGGCGAACTTGGTTTCTTTTTACTCTAAAAGGAACTAAAAATACTTTAATACTCACAAGAACCCCATTGTACCACTAGGAAGAATTGATGGTAATTATCATCGAAATATACCCGCTAAAATGGCATTTTATACAGTGAAGTAAATACAGATCTAGCTTTCAGAAGACCTAGAAAAACTTGAGGATTAGACTGCTGCTCAGTACTGTTCTTATTGCCGTCACCAACTATTTCATTGTCATCTAAGTGACTGTAAAACCTTCTTATGTTATCTACTCATCTAAATAACTAGTTGTTAACTTGCTATTTACTAAGCCTTTTCCTTTTCGGAGCTCGATTCAGTTCTGCTTCAACCAAGTGTTCATCTCGTAACTCATTGATCAGTCGTTTCTCGTTTTCTTTGCCTAACTTACTGTTTTCTTCAATAGTTGATACCCATTGTAATGTAAAATAATACTGTCATTTCACTTAGTTGAATTTGTGTCTAATAGTTGACTGTGATTCTTACCCACATATACAAAATTATGTCGTTTGGGAAAATATGACACTTGTATTTGGTGTTTAGTTCGTCTTTAACGAAAATGCATATTCACGTGGTTGATTGATTTCTTGATTTAAGTAACCTTTCTTAGCGCAAGATAACTGCATTTATGTGTTAGTTTACGCCGTAGTTGTTGATGGTTATAAGTGATTTGCTTACACTAACTAGTTCATTCTGAACAAACTAGATTAGGAGACATTTAATCTATCCCTTTCTCTGATTGACTTCGTATAGTTCGCACGTGTGTAAGTGTTATTGCTGGGAATGTTATCATGAAAGTCAATTTTATTTTGTCATGGTCTGTATAATGTTACTTAATTTTATCAGGAGAAGATGATAAAAAAATTTAGTGAGTAATTATTATGTTTAAGGTACAAGAATAGAATTCGGGTACTTTGGTAGAGTATACCTTCATTCTAGGATGAATTTAATTGATAAAAATACAGTGTGTGCATTCAAAAGCATTATATCAAGACCACTTTGTCTCACTAACACCAAGAAAATTAAGTTTTAAATATGTTTGAAGCTTGCAATTGCTTGTATCATTCATCGGTAATTTGCATTTGACTTTCTTTTGATTTAACGGTCTGTTTTCAGTGTAAATAACATATATCAGTTCCCCGCATTTACAGATTACTTATTTATTTACCCGCAGTTTCCGCGACACACGATATTGATTTTAGTGAAAAATTCATTAAATTACAAACGTTTGTGTCAGCATTATACATCTGAATACCGTTTAACAAAAAGCGGAGAATTTAAGGTATTACTATACCTTCATATGATTGCTGTAGCAATTACCCCGGAAGATTATCTTCGAAAAACGACTACAGTTACAAATCTTATGACCAAACTAGACTATGCATTCTATTCTGGATTCGCTTGACGAGTTACGTAAGGGTCGCCTGCTTGACCACTTTATGAATAATTTTTTATTTATTTTTGATCACAGCTTGATTCCACACTGTATTTTTGGTACAAGTATAGAATTTTCAGCATGGATATCGGTAGCCCATATTTTGCAGGTCCGCCATAGATATCAAGTGTGCGTCGGCAGGCGATCGAACCTCTGACCATGTGCATGGTCGGCGAGAGTCCTAACCACTGTGCCACCGACGCACCAATTCACACACTGATACACCCACTGACTGGATATTGGTTTTCAGGAGAATGAAACACACCCATCCGTGCCTCCTGCGTGACGAGGCCGGCATGCAGGATCATCCTGTGGCGCAACCACTTGAGACTCCTCTCCCTCGGTGTACCAAAATCGTCGGTGGCACAGTGGTTAGGACTCTCGCCAACCATGCACATGGTCCGGGGTTCGAGCCCACGCCGGCGCACACCTGATATCTATGGTCGGCCTGCGAAATTTGGGCTACCGATATCCATGCTGAAAATTCCATACTTGTACCAAAAATACAGTGTGGAATCAAGCTGTAATCAAAAATTAAAAAAAAATCAACCCGACATCTAAGCCAAATTTCAAACGTAGCTGCGATAAACAGGAATGAGACTCAAATCGGGCGTTACTAAAGCTGCATATGAGGAATGGGCTTGACAAGATATCTGGTGTCTTGAGGCGAATAGGATTTCAAGGGCACATTTAACAGAAGAATTATATATATATATATATATATATATATATATATATATATATATATAGAACTCAGAACAACATCATCTACATTTATCTCTTTAGTAATTTCGTAACTTTTATGTAAAAGGAGCAATATCGATCCATAATTCTTGTCTGTTCACGTTAAAAGATAAGCAGATTGGGTGGGTGCTTTGGTTCAATTTCGGCAAAAAGCATATACGTAACTTAAGATAAATCTAGGGATAAAAATAGCCTACCATCCCATCCTTCCAGAACCCGATAAAACGATGGTGAGGGTGCAACAGCTCTCCATGTCCATCCATTTTTCCTGCCTTCCAGTTTCCAATATACTGCAGTTTTGTTGCCGCAAAAGTATATGTACCTCTCCCGTGCCTCAGATGTTCCCTCCACTCACCTTCATATGTATCTCCGTTGATATATGTATATTTCCCCTGACCATATCTTAGACCCCCACTCCAGTTTCCTTGACATTGGAAAACGTAAAATTTAAACTCATAGCTACCTTCATAAACGGTACCATCGGGGTAATAGAAAATCCCTTGACCATGCCGTTTGTTATCTTCATACATTCCGTCATAGCGAGCACCATTTTTAAACCTTGTAAATCACCAATGGACAAAACTTACCGGTATAGTCCGGCTCCACTTCGCTTTCCATTTTGATACATTCCTTCATAGGTATCTCCGTTTGGTAATGTGGCTTTCCCGTAGCCGTGACGTTCATCACGCTCATTTCTTCCCCCTTCGTATTCCTGTTCATTGTACAAAGTAGAAATAACTCATTTACTCACTCCTAAATAAACACCCTCCTCTTCCTCAATTTCTTCTGCCTCATCGTCAGACATTTAGATGCCGAAATGTTTATAATCAAATATTATCAAAACATAACCGTAGCAACAGCTTCCTAGCAACATTTCAAACAAAAACTACCTAAATATCCAATATCATTTTTACGAGCTAGTATAAACCAATTTGATTTCTTTGTGTTCGCTTCTTGATTGTAAGGTATAGGTTCCTGATCTTCGGGAAACTTCTGCGTAGCTCGTCTCGCCACTCGACTGTCGTAGCTTTGGTTAACTCCAAAGGGAGTAGTGCTGGGATTCATTATATGTGGTTTGTAGTGTGAGGTGTGTTAAGACTGTTACTACTGTGAATGGAGTTGATCCTTTCGCCAGTTAGTGCTCCGGTATCGTCAACAAGAGAAAAAAGATAGTAATAATAATAATGCTAATAATAGATATAATTAGTGAAGTTATTCAGACTAAGAGACAGAAACGGAAATAGGAAAGCGCAACAACAGTCAGCTGATTAAATTTGAAGAATAATATATATATATATATATATCGGTAATAATGATAATAATAATATTAATGAGTTGTCAGGAGAGTAAGACGAGAGAGAATGTAGAGAAGTAAAACGACGAGTTTAATTGTCTACCCCTGAATGGTGGATGCGATTTTAAGGGGATAGGTCATTTGGATGCAGTCCTTGTGTCGCTGCATGGTTGTCCAGCCTTCTCTTAAAGGCGTCCAAAGACGGTGCCATAGCTACATCTACCGGTAGGGAATTCCAGTGACGGCAAACCCGCAGTGAAATGAAGTGGGGGCGCACCTGGGTCTTTGTCCTCTGGAGAGCTATCCTTCTGGGATTTCCACGTTGGAGTCCATACCTACTCAATGGCAGAACATCTTTATTTGGGTGATTCTGGTCATTTGTTATTTTGTCGGCAGTAATCAAATCCCCCCTAAGCCGACGGTAGCTAAGTGTGAATAGGCCTAGTTTCTTCAGCCTTCCATCATATGGTTTGTTTCGGAGACCAACCACTCCTTTTTTTGCCCGTCGTTGGACTTTTTCTAAGGGGCTGGCGTCTCTTATAATAATAATAATGTATTTCGTACAAATTCACAAATTTACATAGGGGGTGCAATCATATTATGCACCTCAAGGTATGGCCTGACGTATGTTTTTTACAACCTTAGAAAGAGCTCAGGAATGAGTGCACCTAACTGTCTATGCGTAAGGTGTATGACCGCATATCCTCTCGCTACATCCCCTGTGTAAATTACACTTGTGTCCATTTTTTCCGTTAGGACTAGACCTAAGTCGCGTTCCGACGTTGTGCAGGACAAGCTTTCATTGCACAGGGTGTAACTTGCATTCTGCAGTGTACAGGTGCGTAACTTCACTACTTTGCAGTTTTTCAGGTTGAAAGTCATGCCACTGGCCACCGCCCAGTCTTCCAGAAGGTTTAGGTCTTTCTGCAGCCCATCTGAGTCCTCCGGACACTTTATCACCCTCCATATTTTTACGTCGTCAGTGTATAGGAGAGTCGGGCAGCTTAGACGGCGTGGTAGATCATTGATAAAAATCAAAAACATCAGTGGTCCCAGGATAGAACCCTGCGACACTCCTGTTGACGATCTATGCCAAGATGATCGGACTCGGTGAATCTTATTGCAAAATTGCCTGTCGGCTAGGTAGTCCTTCAACCATGACAGAAGTGGCTCACCTATACCTGCCTGGCTCATTTTATGTAGGAGAAGGTCATGGTGAACAGTGTCAAATGCCTTCTCAAAGTCTAGGAAGACCACATGGACTGGTGCATTTATATCCCAGCATGATGTCCAGTCGTCTCAAGCTGACAGTAGGTTAGTAACGCAGGATCTGCCTTTTCTGAAACCATGTTGGGCTTCGTGTAGTATATTAGGCCTATCGAAATATTCCCTGATGTGGTCGTCAATAATACTTTCCAGTACTTTTGATACCAATGGGAGTAGAGCTACTGGTCTATAACTAGTGGCATTTTGCCTATCCCCACCCTTGAAGATAGGAGAAAGGATGGCTCTTTTCCAATCCCTTTGCAGCTTCCCCGAATCCATTGAGTGTTGGAACAAGTTGCACAGGGTTCTACAGAGAGCTCCGGCACACTGTTTCAGAACAGACGGCCTGATGTCGTCACAACCTGGGGACTTCCCAGGTGTGAGTCGCTGTAGCTTCCTTAGTACTATTGCAGAGTTTATTTGGGGAGTAGCCACTAGGTCTTCCTCTTGTGAAATAGTAGTTCCACCATTTTGGTCTGTAACTGCAATATCCACATTGCCGTTTGGCTGTTTGGCGAATGCTGAACTATATGTTTCAGCCAATAAATGTCCAAATAGATTTTTCACTACTATTACGCAACTGTATGCAAAAAATTATTCATCTCCATCTTCCTTTTCTGTGGCAAAACGTCTCAAACACTATGAAATCACAACGTAAAGTATTTTCCATTTCTGATGTAGCAGATAAGTCTTTACATCCCATTTATAAGATATTATGAACCGGAATCATTAGTTTGAACTCAACTGCTGATTGTGGAGTAACGGTTCACAATCATGAGAGAGTTTTTCTCCAGAGTGAAATGACATTGGCGGGACTTACAAATGTCTCCTTCCCCTCCGGTCCTCTAGCAGGGCTAACACTATAGAAATTTGTATTTGCTGGCTTTAAAAGGAATTTCGTCGGAGGATAGACAATGTAGGTAAAGGTAGTGCAAGAAGATGGACCGAAGGTCAGATGAGACATTGTGAGCACATGCACACACAACAGAAGTAAAAGAAAAAATGACACACATGGAAAAGGGTAATAAGAAATATTATGGAATCGTAAAGCGTAAAAAATAAGTGGGATATAGGGCCACCACAGCCTCCTAGAACCAGTTCACTTCCTCTATGCATGCACGGGAGCTTATCGTAATGGTTCAATGTCCTTGCCTTCTCCCGAAGCCACAATCTGGTGGTATACTAGCCAAGTTGGCAAAATTACCATGTTTTATATCATACTTGGAGCCGTTGGAAAATACTGAACAGTTAGTCTTCATCTTAAACAAAAAAGAAAAGTAAAGGTTGTAAGGATGTAAATTACAAAAAATGCATTTGCTCCTACGATCTACGAACCTCTTCAGCTTCCTGTCAAGATGTTGCCCCAAAGGTGCTAAGGGAATTCGCGAGACATCTTACAGGTCAACTTGTCGCACAGGTTCTACTCTTAAAGATCCTCGAATTGACTCCTCACAAAAATATCTGCCGCACGACAATCTCTCCCCATAACGTGGATATATTTTTGTCGATTTCTGGAATATTGTAGTGGATATTATACCACTGCTCAACTATAACTTATATTGGCTGCTACTCTAGCTTCCAATTCTGCAGATATATCACCGCCAGTTATCAAGTTTGGATCCACTCTTTCGCAGGGCTCATCCTCCTTATTGTAACTTTAGAACAACGTCACAGAAAAGAAAACTGTAGAGAAGTTCATCATTTTTTGGTTTACATACCAGGATCAATTTACAGGATAATTGGTTTCTATATACTCTGTATTTTACTTTTTAGTACTTTGTAAATTTATTGTTTATTTATAAGCAATAAAATTCCATACGGTATCCATAGTAGTACTTAATCTGTATATCCACTCGATATACTATTTTTCCATATACCCGTTTTCGATTTAGCTCGGCTTTAACTTTAAACCATATTGATTAGTTTTCAGCAATGGCACAACGTAATAAACGAGTACTTTCCATACGTAAGAATAGTTTGGGTCACTCAGCTAAGAAGATACGTACATCACTGTGCGTTCCGCGTAGCCTCAACAATGTCCCCGAAGTCATTGTTCCCGACTTGTTGTCAGAGGTATATGCAACTGCTGAACAAAATAAGTTGGACCTTATATCTCTAGGAAACTCTGTGAAGGAATTAAATGAGAATATAAACACCATTAAGCCACTACTGCTTCTTTGTAACCCAACTCATGATGCTAATCCGGAAAGTCTGCTGAAATCTGAGCGTATGTTAGACTTTATAGCCAGTGAAGTTACTAAACGAATCATGTCCTCGTACAACGTTCTCGCTTACAATCTGCCTGATCGGACGCCTCTGGACAAAATCAAAGTGACATGTCTCCAAGCGTGTGGCATGCCATCAGCGAATTGCCACCTAATCAGACTCAGGAAAAAATCAGGAAAGTATACTTGCCCTGTGCTGTTTAAATTCAGTAGTCCTAATGATGCTAGGAAATTTCAGTCGTCAAATAAGTTAATTAGTTCATCCACACCTTATGGTAATATTAAACTTGCCCATGACCTAACGCCATGTCAAAGACGTAGCCGCGCAAGTGTACCAAGTGTCGCAAAAACTTACGTAACAGCAGAATGTCCTATAGAAGACTCTGTCGCCTTAAACTTGAGTAAACCTAATGGTACAGACATACATGAAATACTCTTAAATAATAAAAATTTACCTAGTAAACTCAACGATGAAGCAACTACGGTCATAGACTTAGATGCATCTTCAGAGTTATGCTCGCTAGCCACATCACCATCAGCCGCTAATACCACTACCAACGTTAAGCAAAAGACTAAGCTCGAGCATGTAGCATTAAGCATATCCTCCCCGAGCAGCACTCAGATTAGTGAGCATACAAAACGAAGTAAAATAACCTGTACTCAAACACATCACTGATAGGTTTCTCAGCAGCGAACCAGATAACATTAACTTAAGCGACCCCAATCATACCACTAAACCAGGGAAGCAGAATAAGCCCTCATACCGCCATAAATCTAACGTCAATGAAAAGAGAGGTAACCCGCCGATTCATCCAACATCAAACAAGTCTTCGTCCGATAGACACAACAGACGCTATATGTCTGGGCACCCTAAAAATAAGTCGAAGCCCGACGGGCAGGCATACACCTACCCCGACACAACTTTCCAATCTATGGCTACTATAGACAAAAGTTTGATCCAGGGACCTCTACAACAAGGAACAAGTGCGCTAGGCATGTTTCCTAAAGGTGGCCTTTTGA